GGTCTTCCAGGGAGGCTTTGGAGGGAGCGATGGCCCTGCTGACACCTTGATTTTGCACTTCTGGCCTCTAAAGCTGTGAGAATAAATTTCTATTGTTTAAGTTGCTTGGTTTGGGGTACCAGCTTATGGCAACCCTGGGGCACAAATCCAGGTCCCCAGTGCAGAGGATACTGGATACTCCAAGTATAGACACCCTCTCATAACTGTTGCCTGAGTGTGTCCCTTTCTTCCCTAAGACATACCCCTCAGGCTTTCCAGTCTGGCCCAACCGGTCTGAGCCCTGGAGAAAGCCCCTCCCCCAGGCATGTGCTAGGGCAGCCACCTCGTCCAGCAATTCCATTCCTCTGCCCCTCAAGACCTATCCTTCCCCCAGGGGTTTGTAACCACATCCTTCAACCTGTCCTGTCAACAAATGTTTCTCCAGTCCCTCCACCTAGCCAGGCCAGTTGGGCACGAGAGAGTGAGAATGCGAAGGTGTCCTGGCCTTCAGGAACCTTGACCACAAACCAGTCCACGAGCAGAGGCATTTCTAACCAGATGCGATGTGTGTCACACCCAGGGCCTCCCCAGTGGACACTAGGACATGGTGGGAGACGTTTTTGGACCTCACCATAGAGAGGAGGGGTGGTGTGAATGGCACCTGGTGGGTGAAGGCCAGGCACACTGCTCAGCACCCTACAGTGCACAGTATGACGCCACAGTGCACAATATGACTGCAGAGAATGATTCAGCCCCAGAAATTAAAGGTGCTTTGGTGAGAACAAATGACCAGGGTGGTTTTTTTAGAACAGGAAGCAGGGAAGTGATTAGAATAGACGGTTGCTGAGGCCTGTGCAGTGAGAAGGAGCGGACAGGCCTAGCCCTTGGGGATGGCGGCCCAGTGAGGGTGGTGAGCTCCAAGGGCAGAGGCAGCCTCAGAACAAGGGGACCAGTGTGACCAACAGAATGAGGCTGGAGGGGGAGGGGCCAAGGTTGAGGAGGTCAGATCCTACCCAGTAGCCTGGTGAATGTGGGATGTAGTTGAAATTTTCATGCAAGTTTGATGGGGAGCCCTGGCTGGTTGGGCACAGGGAGCACCAGGGCACGAATGACACAAGGGGTTAGCCAACCAGCATGTGACAGCTGGATTACCATGGGGGATGGGGGGGGAGAGGAGGGTTTCCCCATTGGGTGGCTCCTATAGCAGTGTGTGGGGGGATTGATGGTAGTCAAGCCAGGCACTTGGGATGCAGGTGGGTTCTGGTTATGGGGGGACAGGGACAACAGACCTTTGAGGCTCTATAGGAGGCTGGGTTCTGAGTCTTTTACAGGTGACTGGTGGGCTCATAAAGACATGGAAGGCCGCCGGAGAAGAGGGTCTGGATGGGCAGAGGAGACCCCTTTGGGATCTCCAAATCACACAGTCCACCTGTCGTCACGCTCAGGTGGAAAGCCACCTTGAGAACCTCCTGTGGGCAGAGCTACAGTGACAACACACGAAAGCCCTGCTTCAGACCTCGGCTCGGCAGTCCTACTCAGCTCTAAGGTCCACAGGACCGCCCCGCCCCCCAACCTGGGACATGTCCCCATGGATCCCCTGTCGCAAGTCTGGGGACACACTCTGCCTCACTAGTTGCAATGTGGGATTTGGGCAACAGCAACCATGCGGCTGTTAATCTCATGCCTAGAACTAAATAGCTGCTCAATTAACACTGGTTGTTTCTGAGCTCTTAGCAGGTGAGATATTTCACAAAAGCCACCTGTTGCCTCCCACCAGGAGTGCCTGTTCCAGTTTCTTCAATAACCCCTCCTTGGACTCAATTTTAGAACATTCCCACCATCACAAAGAGATCCCGAACCCTTTAGCCATAGCCCATTGTCCCAACAAGACCCCCACGTCCATCCCTGTTTTCCATTCTTGACTTTGGCCACCCCGGCAGGATGGGGTAGTCTCTGGCCCGGAGTCACCCCCTCCCACCTGTCTGTGACCCCGAGTCTCATGGTCTTCACATGAGCAAGACCCCCTCCTCATAGCTACGAAGCACATCCCCTGCCCAGTTTCTGACACAAAGATCTGGTTTCACTTTCAGACCCAATGATACCTTCCATCACCTAGGTGGCTGATGGTCCAGGGTTTTGACCTGTTAATAACATCTTTGGTCATAGCCACCAAACAGCTCCCTTCCCAGCCTATCCATGTGCTGTCATGGAGGCAGAGTAAAGGTGATCCTTTAGGCTGGCCACAGGTTTGGCAATACTCAGGAGAGAGACCACAGTATGTCCCGATTATAAACCTTGGCCGGACCCCTGGTGGACGGAGGGACACACACACACACACACACACACACACACACACGGCCTCCCAAGTCTGGCTCCAAATATGCCCCTTGCAGAGTCTGAGATACACTCCTTCCCAAGCCGGGTTCTTGCCTCTTTACAGTCACCCCAAGTGTCAGGAAGGACATGTGCAAGATCTGGAAAATTCCCTAACAGGGAGCTGCCAAAGTGGATGTGACCAACCTGCCCACCACCCCTAAAATGTTTACTTAAATGAGTGAGACAAAACAAAATGTACTCACTCCCTATTGGTCCAACTGTTTGTCCAAAACCCCTTTACTAAATAAAAATAAAATTGGCCCCTTACCCAGTGTTATGGGCTGAATTGTGTGTCTCCACCCCCTCCCCCAATTTATTATGTCGAAGTCCTAAACTCCAACATCTCAGAATGTGACTATCTTTGGTTTTTATTTATCCTCACCTGCGGATATATATTTTTTTATTGCCTTTTTTTTTTAAGAGAGAGGAAGGAAGGGAGAGAGAAAACGAACTACTGATATGAGAGAGACACATTGATTGGCTGCCTCCCACTATGCCCTGACCGAGGCTGGGATAGAACCTGCAACCCAGGTACATGCCCTTGACCCGGAATCGAACACCCAACCCTTCGGTGCGCAGGCCGACACTCTAACCACCGAGCAACACCGGCCAGGTCTGGGGTACTTTTTTATGACAGCCACAGGAAACGCGCACAGCCAGCAGTGACAGCAGTGAAAAGCTCATTCTCGCACATACAGACCCATGAAGCAGGGCTGAGCTGGGATATAAATGAATGAGTCAGACCAGGTCAGCTTATTCATCACTCTGACTAATCCACAGGCCAAATGCTTGAATCACCACTTTATTTATCATTGGGATCCGCCGAGGAAAGAAAGTCTCGACGAGGAAATGAGTAGAACCCAAACTCATCCCTGCGTTTCTGAGACATGCCGACTCTCTGAGGCCCTTTCTGGGCCAAAATGAAAACTGGAGAGGTGAAGTGAGGGGGCTCTGTGCAGTGGCCGGCAGCAGGCTGGCTCTTCAGGGCCCTGGCAGAGCTCAGACAGAACCCTTTGTTCTGCGACTCCCTCTATCCAGGAGGACAGAGAGAAGGGCCTGTCTTGCTCTGTGGGGAAGCCGAGCAGGGGCTGCCTGGCACAGTTGGTTGGGGACTTGGGGACATACAAAGGGCTGGTGGGTGGGGAAGAAGGGGAGGAGGGACATCGCCCACAAGGGCTCGGGAAGGCCCCAGAACGTGCATGTCCTCTCATGGAGTTACCGCAGCAATGTCACAGTTGGGGAACAAGCAGAGAAGCACGCACTAGGCGCAAAAGTTAGACAATTTGTCTAACATTTTTTTTTGTCTTAAAGATGGACTGGCATCTGGAGACAAGAGGGCAAACATGAGAACATAATGTAGCTTCAAGAGCCACCTTGATCCGGGATCACCTCCAAAGTAGCTCTTGAAAAGAGAATCAAATACCTCTAATCTCAGAAGAAAAGCAACAACTTGTGCCAAGGCAGGGACGGTTCCTGCAGAAATCCAGGTCAGTGGTAAGACAAAGAAGGGAAAGACAATGGCATGGCTGTCCGGGCGAATGCAGACAGCCCCCGCTCATCTCCTGTTCCTCCTCTGCTGTCCATTCTTGGTGTGTGTTGTCCAACTCCCCCTCGGTCCGTTCCCAGTGGTGCCTCCTTTTTATCGAGTCTCCAGATTAAGAACTGTCTGGAGGGCAGAATTCAGTTGCTGACCTCTTTTCCCCACTCCTGCTCTTGACTGCAGCTTGCAAGGAGCTCAACTTACACCAAAGATCCACGGAGGCAATGGTGGGCCTGGGGCAGCAGCGAGATTTTACTATAGAGCAGAGGTTCTTACTGTTGGCAATTCTGCCCTCAAGGGACACACAGTATGTCTGGAGGCATTTTTGGTTGTCACAATTTGAGGGGTGGGTGCTATTGGCATCTGGTGGGTGGAAGCCAGGGATGCTGCTCAATATTCTAAATTTATGGGACCCCCGATCCCCCAGCAAAGAATGATCCAGTCCCAAATATGAATGGTGCTGCAGTTGAGTAACTCTGCTCTAGAGATTTGGTCCTCACCCATTTGAGGTTACTCATGATCCTAAAGTTTCTAGATCACCCAGGGAGCCATCTCTGAAGTCATCCCTCCCTGAGCCTCAGTATCCATACTGGGGGGATAGGAACCAGGCCCTCCTTGCAGAATAAAAGAGTTGGGTATGAAAGTGTCTATCACAGAAGGGTAGAGCCGCACAGGGACCTGCTTGTGCAAATCCGCCTTCCAGGTTTCATTTCACACCTTCATATCCTTCAAGGCTTGGCTTGAGCCCAGCTATGTCTTCTGGGGAAATTGCAGGAATTCCCAAGCCCTGAAGCTTGCACTAGTCATTCCTCATTCTATTCCTATGACTTCCTGGGCTAGCTCTGTTGCTGAACTGACTGCCACTCAACTCCACTACAGTATTCCTGTTTTTGGCGGGGGCGGGGGGGGGGGGGTACGAGGGCTCCTCTCTGTGCCCTGGAACCAGCCCCCAGCACAATCAGCCCTTGCTTAACTGAACACTGGGCCCACCCAAGACACACAACTTCGATGAGATGAGGAGAGGGAAGTGGCAAGTTAACAAGCCCCTATTGGGGAAGGAGAATGAATCCTACAGCTGAACAAACGGGAGATTCCTACATCTCACCTGTTTCTTGCAGTCATAGGCCTGGACCTGAGGGAGGGTCTCACCCAGCAACTTCCAACCACAGGATGCAGCTAGAGCTTTGCGAACAAGTGCGGTGTGCAGAGCATGTTCGGCACTGCAAACTTTCCCTTTGAAAAATGAAAGTGCAGTGTTTTTTTAAAAAAATCATTTTGGGGTATAAATTTTAGAATGGAAGGCCAAACCACTGCAGCAGGGAGGGGATCACCAGTTGGGGGGCTGCATAAAATCCAAGGGGGCTGTGTGCTGGACACACCAAGATTATCAAAGTTGAGAAATGCTGACTGAGGTCAATTCATTCATTTTGCAGGTGAAGAAACAAAGAGACTTGATGGAGGTGAGAACCCCCAACACAAGACCCTCCAAGAGAGCCTACCTGACCATGCTCCTGGTGCAGGGAGGAGAAAACAGCCAGGGCCATGCACCCAGAAGATTCTGGTCCTCTTTATTGGGGCTGCTCTGGCCAGGGCAAGTCCATGCTCAATGTCTGCACAAGGCATGACTGCGGGCTCTGAATGAGTGTCCTGGAGCCACCTTTCATAAAGGCCAGAACATTCTGGAGGTGAAGGGGGTGGCTATCTTTCTGTGGTCCTGTTTACATTCAAGCTATCCAGATTCATCTCCTGTGTGAGCTATAGGCCCCGGCTCCCCAGCCCTCTGGCAGATCCCAGACAAGGTTCACCACCGTCAGGAAAGGAGAGAGATGAATGCTGATCAAAACTGCCCTATGCAAGGCCCTTGCCAGAATCGGGCCCATCAGATGGTGAAACAACTTTCCAGCTGCCCTTGTCACCTCCCACTGCTCCTGGATGGCTTCAGGGCCTGGAGACTCCTAGACCCGGACACAGCAAGGTAGGAGCTGGGACCCTCCAACTGCAGGGCACAATGTCTCCACCAGCTACCACCTCAGACACTGGGTGCAGGAGAGGCTTTGCCTTTGAGAGCCCTGGCCTACAGGCATGCAGAAGAGAAGCAGGGCACACTGGCTGCCTCTGGGGCTGAGCTCACAGCCGCTGGAGGACAGATTTCCTGTATGTCGTTTTACCCATTTAAGTCCAAGGATGCAACTGCGAGGAGGTGGTGACAGCTTAGCACACAGGGAGCGTGCACATGCACTCCCTCCCCTCTGAAACCCAGTTCCGGTCCCAAGGAGGGCCCAGAGTCTGCTTCCTTGCTCCCGGGGACACCCTACTCCCCCCATCCCCCAACCCCCCACGGCTTCAGCCAGCCAGGTCTTAGCAAAAGAGTTGTGTGGTTTTCCAGTCCGGAATCCCGGCGCAGAGAGCGCTGGGACTCACCCAGGGTCACCCAGCAGCTGGGGGTGAAATCGAGAAGATGAATCAAGAGAAGCGCCCCCCCCTCCCGCCCCCGCTCCACCACCAATGTCCATGGGCTGCATCCCAACATCCGAATGGGGTCACTCTATAGTCCTTCCTTCCCCTCTTCCCCAGGCCCTCCCTGGACAGGCCCTCAGTTCTTGCCATAGTTTTACCCTCTTTTGCTCCCTTCCATCGCCCATGTTCCTCTTCCCAATTGAGCGGGCCACCGCGCCAGTGCGTTCCGAACCTCTTGCATTTATGAACACTCACTGAGTCCCAGGCGCCGCCCGGCCTCAGGCACCCTTCTTCCACCCCTTCGGCCGTGGGCAGACGCCCCCAGGCTGTCCTGCACCCCTTCCCCCGATCGCACCCAAGCTGTCCCGCCCCCACCAGCCTGGCCCCGTTTCCCCAGCGTGGGCCCCTCAACACCGCCTCCTCGCCTCTGCCCCTCCCAGACCCGTTTCCTGCGACCCCTCAACTACCACTTAAGCCACGTCCTCTTCGGAGAGGCTGCTCAAAGCCACAGGACCTACCACCCCCGCTCGCCCACAAACTCCCCTACAAGGTCCACCCCATCAACTCTCTTCCGTTTCATCCGGCGCCGTCGCACGCCGTCTCCGGCAGCCCCTCCGCGACCCCCAAGCTCGTTCCCGCCCCCCCTCCACCCCTGCCTCCACACACCCCCAGTGCCCCTCAGCTCCGTCCCTGCGCTGCAGCCCGCCGACGCGAGCTTCGAGAGGGAGCCCCCGCCCGCGGGCGCAAGCACTCACCTGGGCCTCAGCCGCCGCGCGCCGCCGGTCCCGGGCCGGGTCGGGTCCCCGGCCAGCGCGCCCGC